GGTGTAACAAGAGAACCCGAAACTTGATAGCTTAACACCACATCGTTGATGTTCTTTTAATCTTAATGTTTTTCAAAAGTCTGCAGTGTGGTGGGTGATTCTGCTGCTTTGGGGCCGAATCCAGCTCTGCTCAGCTGGACTGGTGCGTGCACGTGAGGGGTTGGCTGGTCGGCTGAGGGCAGGCTGGGACAACCCAGCACAGGTCCAAGAGCGGTTGCATCTTCCAGCCAGTTAGCTGGGGCTCCTTCCCTCGGTGGGTGCGTGTTTCTGAGAGAATGAACAAGACCACGGGAGGCCCGGGCTTCTGCCGCCCGATCCCGCTGGCCACAGCCAGCTCACATTCAAAGGACGGGTGACCGGCCCTCCCTCCGCCGTGATGGAAAGAGGTGTTAGGTCACATTGCAAAGGCTGGGGATACAGGAGGGAGGAGGGGTGGGGGCCCTTTTTCAAACAAATCTGCCGTCCAGTTGATTCTGACGCAGAGTGACCCTGTAGGACAGGCGGGACTGTCCCTGTGGGTGTCTGAGGCTGTGCATCCTGAGAGGAGTAGACAGCTCTGTCTTTCTCCCAAGGAATGGCTGGTGGTTTTGAAGTCCTGGCCCGTGATTAGGAGGCCCGTGAATAAGCACTCCACCCCCAGGGCGCCTCGGGCCTGCCATCGGTGTGTTCAAAAGAACGGCTTCAATCACCAAACTGGCTCCTTCTTTGTCAAGGTGCACGCCAGAAAAAGAAATAGTTTGAAATAAAGCACCTGAGATTCCAGTGCCAGGGAAGGGCCATCAGAGATGGTCCCTGTTTCCCCATGTCACTTACGGTGCCTCACCTGGGCCCCTGGCCACGTCCACCAGGGACTTGAAGTTGGGAACCAGGGACCGTGAGTGTCAGTGCGCCTGGCGCACTGCCCTGAAACCAGTGGTAACTGGTGCTCCTGCTCCTCCCCCTAGGAATCGGGGTGCTCGGAGCACATCTGCATGGGCTCCATCATGCTCCCGTCCCAGCAGACGCGAAAGCCCGAAGAAGTCCACCCCAGGGAGCGCCTCTTCCCTCTCGCCAAGGAGTTCATCGACCAGTACTACTCGTCCATTAAGAGGCAAGTCCACGCGTGGGTCTGGGGCACGTGGTGAAGTGCTGGGGACAAAGAGTAGGCCAGGGGGCCTGCTCCTGAATGCCAGAGGTAGGAAAAGGGGACCCTAGGTTCCAGGTCTGGCCCACGATGTGTTTCCTTTGCACCAAGACATTTTTGCTTAAGACTTGAAAGAATTCAAGCAACTCAGCATTCGGGTGTCTACCCTCCCCTAGACTTCAGCGCTCCCCAAGGTGGGTGATGCCACTTTGGTGGGGGAGGGGTGTGCTAGCATGATCTAGGGGGACTACAAAGACAGATACCTACACCTTATCCTGGATGATGGGCTAGAGTCTAAAAGTATTTCATTGCCACGGGGCAAGGTAATAAGCTTTTTTTTTTCCCCCTGAAAAGTGGGCAGTGGGACAAATAAGTTTGGGAACCTATGTCGTAGAGGATCTCTCACGCCACAACATAAACTAAGCTCACGGCCCTCGAATTTGGGGACCCATAAAACAGGGAGGAACTACCCCTGGGGGTTCCTGAGACCGTAACTCTTTATAGCAGTGGGTCTCAGCCTTCCTAACACCGCGGCTCTTTCATAAGTTCCTCATGGGGTGGTGACCCTCCAACCATAACATTATTTTCGTTGCTACTTCATCACTGTCATTTTGCTACTGTGATGAATCGGGCGACCCCCAAAGGGGTCACGGCCCACAGGTTGAGAACCGCTGCACTACAGAAATGGAGAGCCCCATCTTTTTCCCACAGAGTGGCTGGTAATTTCAAACGGCTGACCTCACTGTTAACTGCCAATCACGTAACCACTGTGTCACCACAACCCCCACACGTGTTCCTGAAACGGTCACTGCCACATTGTTTCTAAGAGCCAACCAGGAGGCACCTCAACCCCGTGGACATCAAAAATCCCCAAGTCAAGTCCACGGCCCTGCAGTCAGTTCCAACTCTAGGAAGGGCTTCCGAGGCGGTAAATCTTTACAGGACCAGACGGTCATCCCTCTGAGCGGATGGATTAGAACTGCTGACCTTGCCGCCGGCAGCCCAGTCTTTACCCAACACCGTCCCCAGTTGGCCATCAGGTCAACTTTGACCCACGGTGACCCCATTCACGCATGTCCGTGTGGAGCCCTGCTCCATTGGGTGTACAGAAGCGGCTGGCTTCCCTGAAGCAGATCACCAGGCCTTTCTTCCGGGGTCCCTCTGGTTGGACTGGGACTTCTGGGTTAGCAGCCGTGCGTATTCTCTGTGTGCCCCACCCAGGACCTCTGTGAAATGCCATCCAGCTGCAGAAAGGAAGGGCCCGAGTGCTGTGTGTTGACAAGGATGAAGTTGACCAAGGGCCAATGGCCTGGAACCAGAGAACACAGGGACAGGGTGTAGAGGGACGCCTTCAGGATTGCACTTGTCATAGCGTGTTTTGCAGAACAGAGTCATGCTTGCCTGGGGGTGCATACGAGCGAGCCAGAAAAAAGGATAAGGGAAGATACCGGATTCCAAGTCTCCCCTGGGGAGGCAGTGGGATATGCTGCCCCAAGGAACTCTGTCCTTACTTGTTTACTGCTTTGCCTTGGGGGGGGGGGGGGGCTGTGATTTTATTCTGGATACTTGTTTGGAAGAAGCCCTGGTGTGTGAGTGGTTTGAACCCACTCTGCAGTTTGAGAGGGGGAAAGACCTGGTGGTCTGCCCCTGTAAAGACTGCAGCCTAGGGGATCCTGCAGGACACCCTGTGGGGCGGTTCCACTCCATCGCACGGGGTTACGACAGCTCCAAGATCAGTGTGACGGCACCTCCCAGGAGCAGCATAGGCTGCAGAAGCCTGAAATGTTCCTTATTGATTTTTTTTTAACGTTATAAAATTGAATTCAGCCCTGGTGGCGCTGTCAGGTAAGCATTGGACTACTAAGCTCAAGGTTGGCGGTTCAAACCCACCAGCCACTCTCTAGAAGAAAGAGGAGGCTGGCTGCTCCCATCAAGGGGTAAAGCCTTGGAAACTCCGTACAGGGTGGCTGTTGAGTCCGCATCAACTCGCTGATGGTAGGTTTTTTTCTTTTGTTTTGGGCATCCTGGAAGAATTAGAAAATTTCCACCACACACCCACAACCATGACCTTGCTTTAAGCTTTCAACCTGAAACCAAAGATATCCCCTGAAGTCTTCTTAAAACCAAACCAAAGAAGAAGTCGGCCTGGAGCTCTGTGCTCCGTCAGGAACCATCAAAGCAACACAAGGATGAGGGAGATGCCTGCCATGGGGGGCCGGGAGTCGATGGTAACGAGGGAGGGACAACTCAGAAAAGGAGGCCGAAAGTGGTTGCACACACAAAGACTACAACCCAAGTCCCCCCGATTGTGCATGTGGAGACAATTGAACTGGTGGACTCGTGTGTTACATGTGTAGCTCCAACATAAAAAAAAAAAATTGTTTAAAAAAAAAAATCACAAGTTCCCCTGAAAACTCGTTTCCAGTTTCAGGCAGTCACTGACCCAACAAGGGTCATCCCCTTTGGCCAGTACCTGGGGTCACGCCCTGCCGGGCCCACCGCACTGGCCCAGCTGTGGGTGCACAGCCAGACCTGCGTGGCCCTATGGGTGTGCGGTGTCTGCTTCGAGGACAGGCGTCAGCTCAGCACTTCCTGTGGCTTTGCCCTCCCCTGGGGCACAGGGTCATGCCCGGGTCCCTTCCCTGCTCGCCCAGGTTTGGCTCCAAAGCCCACATGGACAGGCTGGGAGAGGTGAACAGAGAGATCGAGACCACCAGCACCTACCAGCTCAAGGACACAGAGCTCATCTACGGGGCCAAGCACGCCTGGCGGAACGCGGCCCGCTGCGTCGGCAGGATCCAGTGGTCCAAGCTGCAGGTAGGTGGGGCGACGAGGAGACCTTGAGGGGAGCCCTGGGCCGGGGGTCAGGATGGGGGGATCAGCTCCTACTTTGCGTGTGCAGTGGCCATGAGGTTCCAAGACCTCAACTATTGGTGAATCCAACCTACTGAAGACAAACTCAGCCACTGAGTCAATTGCAACTCATAGACACTCTGCAGGACAGGGTAGAGCGGCCCTGTTGGTTTATGAGACTAACTCTTTATGGGAGTAAAAAGCCCCATCTTTCTCTCACGGAGCAGCGGAGCAGCAGGTGGTTTTGAACTGCTGCCCTTGCACGCCACCAGGGCTCCTGGCACCCCTTATTTACCCAGCACAGTGCTTTCTAGCAAGTGAATGTCTCTTAGTAAGCTCATAGGCTCTGGTTTACTGCAGACCCCACTACTACTTTTTGCCTCACACCTTCTCCCTCTCCGCTTGCTTATGTTATCTGCCTCGGCCTCCAAGGCCCTAGATTCTGTCTCCCCCAGGACAGTTTTCTTTTCCTGGGGAGGAGTTTTAACGGAGGCCAGTTCTGATCAACTTCAGGGTGTCTGGTTTGACTCTTCTTGGTCTGCTGTATTCTTTAATCCCCAATCCCTGGTGGTGTCGTGGTTACAAGTTGGGGTGCTAACCGTAAGGGAAGCCGTTTGAAACCACCCACAGATCCATGGGAGAAAGACAAGGCTTTCTACTCCCATAGGGAATTAGTCTTGGAATCTCACAGGGGCAGTTCTACCCTGTCCTGTAGGGTCACAACTTGACAGGAGTGAGGTTTGGGTTTACTTCCTAATAACCTATCAAGGAAAAAAAAAAATAACCTATCAAGGTATGTAACCAGCTCATTCAAATTCTATCCTGTCCTCCCCCTCACCCCTTCCCTACACTTATGCTCCCTGCCAAATACTCAGAGCTGTTTTCTACTGTGGTTATTAGGATAGAGCCGTGTGTGTGTGTGTGTGTGTGTGTGTGTGTGTGTGTGTGTGTGTGTGTGTGTATCAAGAACCCTGGTGTTGCTGTGCTTAAGCAAGTGACTGTTAACCTCAAGGTCAGTGGTTCAAATCCACCAGCACCTCCAAGGAGAAGACTTGGTGATCTGTTCCCATAAAGAGTCTGACTTAAGGAAACCCTATGGGCCAGGTCCGTCCTGTCGTATAGGGTCTCTATAAGGCAGAATGGACCCAGTGGAGACCCCAAAGCCCCAACCTATGGAAACCCCAAAGCCCCAACCCACTGCATCTAGTTGATTCCAGCTCAGAGGTACCCTTAAAGGGGTTTCTGCAACGATTAACCTTCAGAAGAGTAGAAAGCCTCACCTTTTCCCCCTGAAGTGGCTGATGGGTTTGAACTATCAGCCCTACGGTCGGCAGCCCGATGGATGCCTAACCCACATATCGATCCATGTACACCTGCTTGCTAAAGTACAGGGGCAATGAGGAAGAAGAAGCCTTGGGATGAGGATTGGCGGTGTGGCCACACCCACGGCCCAAACAGAACCACTGTGAGGATGGCACCGGCCGGGGCGGTGTGTCAATTCTGTTGTACGCAGGGTCACTAGGCGCTGGAACTGACTCACAGACAGCTAACAATGACAACACCTGTTGTCTGCTCTATGTGTTTGTCACCCCCTGCCACTGAATCAGTTCCAAGTCATAGCAACCCTGTAAGACAGAGGAGAAATGTGCCGGTCGGTGGCCTGCGAAGGGGGTACATCTTTACTGGAGCAGAGAGCTGGGTCTTTCTCCCAAGGAGCGCTGGTGGGTCCAACGGTGGACCTGGCGGTTAGCAGCCCTCTGGGGTGCCCCCAGGCCATTAGGGCACGGTCCATTTATGTGCAACCACGTACATGCGTCTCTAGAGAAGCAACGGCATGATGCTCTTCTTCCAGGTGTTCGATGCCCGAGACTGCACCACGGCTCACGGGATGTACAACTACATTTGCAACCACATCAAGTACGCCACCAACAAAGGGAACCTCAGGTGAGCGGGCCAACGGCGGGGGCTGGGGAAGGAGTCCAGTGGCCCCACAGCCTTGACCCTGGGGTCTGAAGTTGAGTCACAGGTCAGGGACATGCTGCCCCTTCCAGAGAGATGGGCCAAGACGGCAGAGGGCTCCCAGCCTCCACCATCTCTTCTGAGAACGGCAGGCGCCAATGTGGTTTGCAAAACTCCTGTTAACAAAAACCACACTCCACTTGCTCCTGGATAACGGCCCTCTGGAGAGCAGGAAGAGGGTTTTCTGATGGCTGGGAACAGAAACCGGAGCATCCACTGGCCAGGGCTAGTGTCCTTGACCACCTTCCACTAACTCAGTCACCTGGCGTGAACTCCGCATCATCCGTGGTCTAAAGATCTGTACCCTTCCTATACTGCTGTGGAGACTGGTCCTTCCCGGGTCACCAAGCCAGTGCCACACCCAGGACACTGCCTGCCCCAGCGAGCAGCCCTGCATGCAGCAAGGCATCAATAGGGACTGGTAGCTCCCACCCTGGGCGGCCCTCAGCTGGGCGAGGAGCAACTGGAAGGGGGCAGCTGGTACCTGCAGACAGGTGTGACACCTGTTAGTCCCGCTTGCTCATTCCTGCCCCAGCATCTGGGCCCAGCTGCTGAGGACCAGCCCCATGTCAGGCCCAAGCAGGTTTACTTCAGGAACATTCCCCCCGTCCCTGGGCAATTCTGCGTGCATCCGAATGTGGCTCATTTGCACGAAGCACGGCTCGTCTTGGATGCTCCTCTCCCTTGAGAAGAAAACCGTTGCTGCCAGCAAGCTGAGTCAGTGGGAGAGGGGCCTGTAGTCCAAGCCCAGGGACCAAATGGAGAATTGGTATCTAGGTATATTTCCTTAAAGCCCTCAACCCCAAATTGCATCTAAGAACCCACCCAGTCGACTTCTGCCCCCTCAAGGTGCATGTGGGGCGATCAGTGGCCTTCGTGTGGTGCTGTGAGGTGTTCCTCCGGGGAGCAGGGGAGTGGGTGGGGTCGCCATCACAGACAACAGGTCGTGCTGGTGAGGTGGTTGGCCCCGCCTCCCCTCCCCTCCCTCACGCTTCAGCTCGGCTCACCTCCAACTTTCCCAGAAGTCTTTGTGAGAACCTTTTCCTTGAAAGTATTCTGCTGATTCTTTTTAAAAAAACTCACGCCTGGAAACTGAGAAAGCAACAGAGGGTGGATACTGTGCATGGAGTGGTTACAGGCATACGAGAGAGGAAGGCAGGGATGGGGAAGGGGGGGATGAGGGAGGAGAGGAGAGGCAATTTAAACAGACTTGCCACTTGGTGAGGCGCTGCTGAGGAGAAGTGGGAGATGGGAGTTCTCTCTCCGCGGTGAGCCGTGGTTCCCACAGCTGCAGGAAGTGGGACGCCGGTGTTTCTCGGCGTGCATTCAGACGTGGAGCTCTGTGGCACAAACCTGGCTGCCCGTGGTGTCCAACCGAAGCAACGGCGATGGGTTTCCGTTTTGCTTTCTTTTCCATCCGTTTGAAATGAACTTATCTGTCACGAAAGACTCCCAGGTCTGCTTCCGGTTTACTTCTAAGCCTCCTTTCTGAACCGCTCCGACCGGGGTGGAGATCGAAGGGGTACGAACCTGGAGGAGGGGGTTAAGGCTGTGATGAGCGTCCGCTCTCACATGACGTTTTGTGTGCTTCAAAAGAAGCCTATTCTATGTAGCTGCACCGCACATCTCAACAAATGAAATCAGGAATAACAGCCCATTAGCCCCCCGTAAATGTGGGGTTAATCCTCCCACCCTCTTGCCTCCCTCCCTCCCTCTCTTCCTCTGTAATTTCATATCCCCTGCTCTCCCTGACCCTGGCCTCCTCCTCATCTCCAAAGTCTTCTCTTCTGCTGTGAAAACCACTCCTCTTTTTCTTTGTTTTCCCGCATACTGAGGGTGTCCTTAAATA